GCACTGCTCTGCTCCGTCACACCAAGGTCACCAAAGACCTCCATTTTGTTCAGTCCAGCAGACATCTCCAGTCATCACCCCACCTGACTTTTCAGGAGCATTCAGCTCTGTCTACTCATCAGTTCCCTCGTGTCCATGACGTGGCCCTGTACCGTCAGCTCTCCCTCACAGTTCTCCCCTTTCTCTTTTGCAGGATCATCCTCCTCTTCCAACTGTTAACTGTTAGTGTTCTCCAAGCCGGCTTCTATGCCCTCCGTCCCTCCATTGTGTCCCTTTCCAGTCTAGCACCTTCACTGCTGAGGAATAACTATGTCTTATAAGTAGATATGCATAATTCTGTCCCTTTCCCAGACTCCCCTGGGATCCTCTGACCCACACGTCCACCTGCCTACCTGACATCAACACTTGAGCTGTCTCAGGAGCATGTCAAATTTAACAAGTTCAAAATTGAACTCGTCTCTTAAAACGCTCTATCTCAGTAAAATCATGGTCCCTCCTGTCATACAAGCCTGTTTTACCATCTCAGTATCGCTGGAATCTACTTCCTTCATCTCGGCTGCCTACAACCCTGCCAAGCTACGGTCCTCCCATGGAGTTTCCCAGCAGCCTCCCTCAGGCCTCTTAGGCTGCTGCTCAGCTCCATCCCATCGTGTGCCCTCTAGATTTCTGCCCTCCTACCACATTAACCTTTAGTGTCTCCTGGTGTGTCCCCTCCTACCTCAGGCTAACCTTAGTACCTGTGACCCTCCTTCCTGGAACCCCTCTCCACCTGCCTCCTCCTGCTCTAGTCTGAGCCCCCCGTCAGTCATCACCACACTGGTCCGTGCCTCTGTCACGCTTTCTCGTAGCCCGATGGCCTTCCCCCTCCTGACACTTGTCATTGTTGGAATGTTACATTTGTGCAATTCTTCAGTTAATGTGTGTGTGCCCCTCTAGACTGTAAGCCCCGTGAGGGTGAACACTGGTGTTTGCGCAGTCCCCAACCCAGAGTGGACGCTCACACATTGTACTCATGAAAGGATGAGGGAATGTCCCATATGGGAAATGCCCAGATCACACATTCTATCTTGGCTGAAAGGTTTTCATATTTTTTTCCCCAAAATACATTTTTCAGAGCAGGAACTATAAAGCAAAAAGGATTCAAAGAGTTTCTCTTTTCCTACTTCCAAATTGGATTTTGCTTTATCAGTAATCACTTGAAGCATAGTTGTGATAAAAGAAATCATTTATTATGTTCTCTTGAACTAGTTTTTATATAAGTTAATGAAAGCAATATGAAGTCAATTACTCCTTATCTTTTCCTTGCCACCCTGTAAACATCCTTTTACACTTTTATTTCCACAAAATATTGAAAAATTGATTTTCATCAAACTTATTGTCACAGACTTGGTTTTCAGTTCTGATTCTCTTTTTTTATTTAAACTTTGATATTCCAGTGATAGTATAAATTTAAATTTTTCATAAATATACTCTGAGAATTATTTAACATTGTAAGATACTTGAGTAAACTGAATGTGAGAGATTATATGATTTTAAATTAGTGTAGAGTTATATTAAATGGCAGTTTCATACATTTTTATATACACCGTAACTGAGGAGATTTTAATATAGAACAGGCTAAGAGTGATGTCTGATTAAGTTATTGCAATAATTTGATAAGAAGAGAATTGTACTTCATCCTTGCACAGGGAAAGCTGATACAGGTCATCAGTTTTTATGAGTGGAGGATTAACTGGTGGTTGTAATTAAGATTTTTTGGGGATGAATAAAAAGTAGTGATAGCTTATAACCCATTACAATGCATTTTAAGGTATTATTCTGATTATCTTATTCCATAATTAGATGATATCATTTGCTGTTTTAAGCATCTGCCATTTATATCTGTGCTTCCCAAACTATGCCAGGGTGCCTTAGGGCACGGCAGCAAATTCCACAGGAGTGCCACAGATTATTTTAAAATTCAAAGGGTACCATGGTGATGCTCAACATCTGTAAGACACCGTTCAAACTGCTAGCTCGAGGGAGTGCACAATTTCAACTTAGACTGTACAGTTTTCCTTGAAATGATGTGGTATGTTCGGGAAGCTGGATTCTCAGCAGTTGTGTGGAAAAAGCAAAAGTGCCCACGAAAATCAAAGTGGATCAGGAAATGAGGGTGGTGGTGTCCAATCTGATCATAAATTTGGGAATTTGTGCAGTACCCAACATAACATTATTATATACTAATTAGTATATGTTTTAATTGTTATATTAATATATAAATAAATGTCAATATAATGTTTTTGTAAAATATATCTGGTAGTTTGCATATATGTTTTTTATAGTTTAAAAAATTATTAAAGTACTTAATTGTTAGAACAGGCAATTTTTTAACATGATTCAAAAATCAAAAGCATAAGGAGCACAGTGAGAAGCTTCGCCATCTGAGTTGATGGCAGCCCCATTCTGCCGATTGCTCAGGCCAAAGCCCCGGAGTGGGTTGTGGCTTCTGTCTTGCTCACACCCCACATTCACAACTACAGGAAATCATGTTGGCTCTACTTTCAAAATATATCCAGAATCTGACTCCTAACCTTACTGCTGTCACTGTGGTCAAAACAGGCTATTGCTACAGTTCCTAGTACTACGATGACTAATTTAGTGAAAGAAATATGAAGTTGATTATTCCTTAACTATACTACTACTACTTATTAATACTGACCTCCCTACTTCTTTACTTATGCCCACCGTACCCCCTCACCCCCCAGTAATCTTTTTAAACCCAAAGTTAAGCGATAGCATCATTCTACCACCCAGAACCCTGCAATAGCACCCATATCACTGGGAGGAAAAGCCAGAGTCTTTTCAGTGACCTGCAAGATACTACGGGACCACTTTCCCTTAACTCTCGCTTTCCCTTAACTCTCTGATCTCAGTCCTTGCTATTTCTCCCCACACTAATTGGCTCCAACCAGACTGGTCTCCTTGTCCCAAGCATACCAGTCATGCTCCTGCCCCAGGGCCTTTGCACTGGCATGCTAAATTCCTTATCTCTTTCTAACTTTGACCTACCCTAACCCATACTATTTTCAATACATCAGTGATACTCCCCGCCCCCAACTCCCCACCCATGCACTGATAGGCATTTCCTAGCCCTTTTATCCTGCTCTTTTTCTTTTTTCCAAAGCTTTTTAACATAGTGAATAGTTTACTTCTAACCTAATAATTTACTAAGTTTATTGTTTTATTGTCTGACTCTCCCCACAAAAATATAAGCTCCAGGAGGACAGGCACCTTAATCTGTTTTGTTCAACAAAGTATCCAAAGCCACTAGAAGAATATTTGGCAACAATAGGCGTGCAGCATCATTCTTAATTTTTTATCTGTTCGAACTATCGATGAAAGCATATTCAAAACTCTCTCTATAATGATGGATTGTCCGTTCTCCCTGAGGTCTGAACAATTTTTGCTCTATATGTTCAGGCTAATTAGGTACTTATAAAATATGATTCCTATCTACTTGGCTAATTGAACCTTTTATCATTGTGTACAGACCTTCTTTATCCTTAATAATGCTTTTGTCTCAAAATTATTAGTGTATCTAATATTAGTAAAGTTAAGCTAGCTTTCCAATAATTTTTAGTACTATTTAATATACTTTTTCTGTTGCTTAATTCATTTTGACAATCTGTTAACTGCTAGTCCATTTATACTTATTGTAATTATATGTAATAGATCCAGATTTGTTTCTATTATTTGCTTTCTATTTGTTCCACTTTTGCAGGCTTATTTTTTTCTTCTTACTTGATTTCTCTTTTTTTTAAAAAAAACAGGTTTTATTTCTATTCTTACTGTTCATTCTCTTCTATTACTATGGAGGTTATATACACTTTCTATTCTTTTAATGTTTGCCTTTGAAATTTTACTTTAATAGTCTAAAGTTAACATCTTGTACACCCACAACTAAGATGAAATAATATTAGATGTTAACTGTAATTGAAAATTAAAAAAAAAAAGTAAAGTTGACATCTTAACTCACTTCCTGAACAACACTTGAACACTGTAACTCTGTCCTTCTGCTCCCCAACTTACACGCTGTTGCTTGTCAGTGTTTATTTCCATCCTTTTTAATCCCATAAATGAAGCATTATTACTTTTTATAGGCAATGTTTACTTATGTTTATCTGCATATTTGCCAGTTTATTTGCTTACTGATTCTTTTTGTATCTCAGATGTTCCACGCATATTTACCTTCTTTTTGAAGTATATTGTTAGAATGTAAATATGTAACATGCTTTGAAAGCTTATAAGTTCCATTAGTGAGGTCTGTTGTAGGCAAGTTCTCAGTTTATATGAAAAAGCTTTTATTTTGCTTCCATTTTTTGAAAGATAGTTTTGATGTGCGCGCATACGCGCACACACACAAATATATATATATATATATACATATATATATGTAAATATGTATATATATATATGTATATATATATATATTTGACGTGTTATTCCAACACCACGAAGCAATGAACTGAATTGTGACACTGTCTTCCAGGAGATAGCATCAGATCCCACAGGTTAAGGGCTCCGTCCCATGAGACTCCAGAGGACAATCGCAGGTCCAGTTTGTTTCTTGCGGTTCTTACTGACTGGCTATGAATTGCAGGTTCCCAAGACAGTGTCCTTGGGTTCAATTAACTTGCTAGAGCGGCTCATGGAGAAACGTTTGTTCATGTTTACCAGTTTATCATAAAAAATATTATAAAGAACCCAGATGAAGAGGTGCATAGGGCAAGGCCCAGAAGGGTGCAGAGGCCAGGAGCTTCTGTCCCCATGGATCTGGGGGGCACCACCCTCCTGGCAGTGCCTTCACCAGCCATGAAGCTCATCAACTCTTATTGCTCAAGAGGTTTTGTAGTGCTTCTTCTCCAGTACCCCCTTCCCCATCCCCGAGGTCAGTGGGTGGGGCTGAACATCCCACCCAGAGAGTAATAACCTGTGCTATTTATTTTATATTTTTCTAGATCAATGAACTGAGCCATGTTCAAATCCCTGTGATGTTGATGCCAGATGACTTCAAAGCCTACTCAAAGATAAAGGTGGACAATCACCTTTTTAACAAGTGAGTACAAATACGACCTTTTTTAGAACTGATAATGACTGCCAAGAGTATGATTTTTGTGAATTTCTATAATCACATTGTTTTTCAATTGTGGGAGTAAAGTTTTGCTGATGAAGTTAATCTTGTGATAAACATAACCATCTGTCATTTTCAGAAGAGCGACAGCGGGCTCTCTTGGGTAATATCCTTTGGCCATATGGCATATTGTTCTCTATGAATATCTTATATGTTAAAAGTGATATTCTCATTGCAATTTAAATGTTTCAAGCTATAAAGTGCTAGGATTTTTTTAAGAGCTGTGGACCTCATCTATCTTACACAAAACTCTCCTAATTACTTTACGAACAGAAAGGACGACTTCATAGAACAATAAAGAATTAAGGTGTTATTTCATAAAACATAGCTGGATGCCATATTGGGCACTGAGAATATTTCTCCTTCATTTGACTGTCATTGTACACATCATTAGGGAGCACTGTATGTGTTAGGCGGTCCACTGAGAGACAGAGACACAGGGATGTATAAGAAATGGCCCTGCCCTCATGGGGCTCATAGTCAGGCGGGTGGTTAAAAACTGACATATGTACAAATTACTATAATTTGGTGTGCAAAGTACCACAATGAGGTGTGTGTGTGTGTGTGTGTGTGTGTGTGTGTGAGAGAGAGAGAGAGAGAGAGAGAGAGAGAGAGAGAGAGAGAGAGAGAGAGNAGAGAGGAGAGAGAGAGAGAGAGAGAGAACACACAAAAGAGGAAGCAATTCTGAAGGAGTAGAATGAGGCTCATAGAAACCCCTCCCACATGAGGATCAATTGTGAAATTTCTTAATGGGGCCATTGTTTCACGTGTTAATTCTTCTCAAACTATTGTTTAGAGGTTGACCCTTTGAAAGGATCTGTTCTACATGAATTTAGAATGTGGTATTTATATAAAACGAAATAGGTCGTTCAGGGAGTTGAGAGAGTCTTGTTCTGTAAGCTTTTATCAGCAAGTAATGGAGGAGTCCTGTGGGGGGCGCTGTTCGTGGCCCCCTCTGCTGCCGTTCCCTAACTCTCCTCACTTTTGCTTTTCCTTCACCGTTTCCCTCAGCCAGGCCCCTTACCTTGGCACCTCTGCTTCTAGATGGTAAGAGGACACAAATGTGATCAGTCTGTCCCTTCTGTCCCCTGGATCTTACCATGGGTTGTACCCTTGATGCTTGGCAACAGGGGATTGACTTACACGGGCCCATTTATACGTCGATTTTTAAAATAAATACGTACAGAACCGTAATGTATTTTCTCTTCCTTATAATTTTAATAACATTTTCTTTTCTCTAGCATATTTAATTGTAAGGATATAGTATATAATACATATAACATACACAATATGTTACATGACTACCATATGTGTTAATTGACTATGTTATCTGTAACACTTCTGGTCAAGAGTAGGCTATTAGTTTTGTGGGGAGTCAAAGGTTATATGTGGATATTCAACTGCGTGTGTGGGGGTGTCAGCACCCCTAACCCTGTGTTGTTCAGGGTGCACTGCGGTTGGTTCTGTAAACTCCCTCTGTGCCCTCTGTGGGTAGGGAACTCTAAGCACTTCTTTGGCTGTTGGTAGAACTAGATGGTGGGAGATTCAAGTCTGGTGATCTCTTTGTGTATGTGAGCTTTATTCCATAATATGCTCTTTCAGAGAAAACATGCCGAGCCATTTCAAGTTTAAGGAATACTGCCCGATGGTTTTCCGAAACCTGCGGGAGAGGTTTGGAATCGATGATCAAGATTTCCAGGTGAGTTGCTTTTGTAACGTTTGCTTCAAATGGGCTTCATCATGCCTTTACTCTGTAAAATACAGTTTACATTTTTGTCATTACAAGTACGTATATGATAGTAATTTTGATTTTATATATTAATTTTCAATGTCCTTTCTGAAATAACGGGTTCTTTCAGTTAGGGACCCCTCTACAATATGATTTCATTAGTTGGTAGGAAAAGAAATGATTCTTTGGGAAGAGAGCAGGCATGTGAGACTTTCATATACTCTCACTTCCAGGTGAAGGTGTTCTGCCAGTCAGTGTTCTGCCCCTTTTGATGCCATGAATGTGTCACCAGCCTGTGCAAATGTGTGTGTGTGTGTGTGTGTTGAATTCGCATTTCCTGTATTTCTGGTTGCTACTTAGGAATCAGAGTAATGTTTTGGTTTTTGCTGATTTGCTGCCTTTCAAATTGGCCAACCCTGATTCTCACCTACAGTGTGTTTGTCAGACGCCATACACATGCACTAGGTGCCACATGGTACAGTGACTGTTTTCGGAAAGTGGGCCCTTTTCGGCGCGAAATCCAGGTCCTTGGCAACTCGAGCAAGGAATTGAACGAGATGCCAAAGTAAAGCGCTGAAAAAGTAGTTTATTCGAAAAGATAATACATTTCAAAGAGTAGAAGTAGACCTGAGCTATAGAGAATAGCTCAAGGGCCCATTATTAGAAGAGAAAATACATTCCAAAGAGTTTGGAGCAGGCCACGTGCAAAGGCGAGGCTGAAAGAGCTCGAAAAGGAATAAGTGGTCAAGAGAGCAGGGCGTCCAAAAAGGAAAAAAGGGAAAAAGGCTCAAACTTTCCAGGACTTGGGGTTTTTCTTCCCTTCTTTAAAATGGGCGGTTCTCCTAAGGGCGTGGGACAACTTGATTGGCACCTATGATTGACAGAATGTACTGCACAGGTGCCAGTGACTGGTCTGATCTAGTTGTACCCATTTGTTTTAAGGGTAGATAGTTACAATGAAAAGAAGTTTTGGGTTGAGAGGGGCGGTCAACGGGTGGTCACATTCTGTGGGATGTGCAGGAATGCAGAGACCCAATGTCTGCCTCTATCTGTTTACCTAGTCTTCCCCTTGAGAGGCATGAATCCCATAAAATCTCTATGGGAAGCTGAGGGACAGGAGGTGTTTTCTTGTGTATCTGCTTCCTGCTGGGCAGGGGTGTACAGCTGTCCCTACCTATTGGGGGATTCACGGAACTCTCACCCTAGCTGATCTCAGATGGAAGGAAGGGGTCTCGAGCTCCGCCTGGAAGACCATGTTGTCTTCTTTGGTTGTGACCAGCAATCTTGTTGGGGTATCCTCTGAATCCCCAAAGTCCCTGAATGAGGAAAAATAGATTTTAATTAATAAATCTGTTAGCTCTCCTGAAGCCTGTTGTCATTTAGCCTGTTACTCAGGTGGCATCAGTTGTCTGGGCCCAGAATGGGTTTGGCGTTTAGTTTACTGGCCTGGGGGGATATTAGGAAGTCACAGGCTTTCAAGTAGTTATCTGAAGCAGGAGACTTCTCTTGTTTAGGATTCAGAAACTGATTTACAAACCAATCAAGAAGCTGGGGGATAGAATTTTAGGATTCAGGCTAGGAGTAAGTAATCTTTAGTCTAGGATTTACAAACTGGTTAGAAAAGTAATCAAAGCCAAGAGCTAAGGAACTAAGAAACTAGGGAGGAGACTTAACATTTCCATACTTAATATTCCTATAGGAAAGAAAACTTAAAATTCTCTGGGGGAAGGCACTCTCCTGGCCCATAACAACTGCTGCACTGTTGTCACCATCAGCAGCCCACCCCTCCCAGGAATGGCTCTGTAGAGCACCACCATGGAAAAATGTGCACTGTTGCTTTTTCCCTATCTGTGCCTGGTTCTCAATTTTGACTTTTAAAATGGACATCATGGTGCTGTCATATCTGCTGATCCATGGCCATTTCTCCCAAGAAAGGACCTGACATCAGTTACCTGATTTTCATATAGCCCCCCAGATTCGGAAAAGCCAAGGATTTTCTTTGTAAGCAGAAATCTATGTTAAGAGATGCAAGGGCTACTTTTGGTCTTTTACGACAATCTATTCATTTTATTGAGTTCTGACTTACATTAAATCCCTTCAGATCTGGTAAACCCTTGCTCTCATTTGCCCTAAATGGGAAATCCTAATTGATCCTGCATCAAGTGCCATATTGCCTCCCTGGGTGACTTATAAGTTAAGTGTTAGCACAGCTTACCCTGTATTTTCCCTGAACGATTAGGGTCTCCAAGGCAAATTGAGCTTAGTATATTTTCCTAAAGATTTGGGCCTCTCCACCTTGCCCTGCCCCATTGTTGAAAGTTTCCAAGAATTTCTCACATGCCATCCAGGCCTGAGAAACCTCCCAGACACCATGTTTTGATAAAGCAATGCTGGCCAGGCTGCAGGTGACGTTTCCTTCTCCGCTGACTGCGGCCAAGGTGTTCATGGAGGTCCAGGTTCTGAGCAGAGTGCACCCAGGGAGGGCTGAGGGGAAGTGTGACAAGGAGGATGTGGGCGCTCAGTTTTTTTTTAAAAAACTGTGGTGGAGCCACCAATGCTCAGGTTTGACCTTCATGTGTCAGAGTGAAAGAACTCAGACTTGCAACTGAGGCTGAAAAGAATAAGGCGCTTTTAAAAAATACATGTTTGGAATAGTAAAAAAAGGTTTGTATCAAATAACGAGGAATAATTCTCATTACTTGACCTGTTACTATGTTTAAAGAGGCCATATGAAAATAAATGGAGTACTTTAAACAGAATGAACAGCTGATAACTTTCATGTCCTAAGATCTCCTGTGGCTGAGTCTGCTAAACTGAAGTATGTTCCTCCCTTGGTCCCCCCTCCTTTTTTTGTTTTAAATAAATCTATACTGCCATTTCACAGAACTGACTTTTAAAAGCCTAAGCAACAGGATCTTGTTAGAGTCCTCAATTTATTACCAAAATGAAGACCTTATATTTCTTCTTATAATCAGCTCTGTTAAATGAGTCTTAAAATGAGCCCATTACATCCCGAGTTCTGCACTGTAGCAGATAAAAGTCATTTTTTAATGTCCTAAAATGACCAATTTAGTTGCTGAAATACTAAGATGAGCCTATTTTCTTTCCCCTTTCTCTCCCTAAAACCAAAACCATGTAAGTTGATCTTTAAGGAAGCGCAAATTGCTGAGTAGAAACTTTGAAGGCAAATTATGCCAGCGGAGGATGATTCACACTAACTAATGGGCAGGTCTGTTAAGCTCTTAGCATGAGCAGCATAGAGGAGAGCCAGTGTGAGTATAATTAATCACTGGAACTTTTCTCCTTTGCTCAGCTATGCCTGGTGCATTTGGCGTTTAAATTGCTGCTTTCTCCTTGGCAACTGTATTTCTATTTTAAAAAAGAAAAAGGTGGGTGTTCAAAGTAACTTTAGTAAACCAGAGACGTACTGGTTTTCCTCCCCGATCCTACGTCCAGTGTCTGTACCTCTTAAACAATCGTCAGCAGGGGCAGACCCCCTAGTTTAGTTTACACCGAAGACAAGATTGTAGACGTGGGCCTCAACCCACTTTGTTGGCTACGTGGTTTGGAAACAAGGAGGAAGTTGTACCAAGGCTGGCTCTGGATTCGTGCCTTGAGGGCTTCTTTTCAGGGCAGGGGTGAAGGCGGAAGTGTTGCGGTCCTGTGCAGGCTGCAGGGGGACGAGGCCAGGACCCCGGAGGCCCTCATCTCAGGTGCTTGGCACCTTGACTCACCACCACCCAGTTGTTTCATTCATCATGGCCAGAACAAGTAACAGGTATCAGGTGACACATGTAGTACCAAATTCCCAATCTGGTTTGAAAAGTGGGATCAGTGACCTGGGGTCTCCTCGTCTATTGGAGGCCCTGGATTGATCGCTTAGGGGACCAGGCCTCACGCTGCTTTGCCTGCTGTGTTTATTTTTCTGAAGCACTTGCATGTTGAACTAGCAGCTTTAAATCAATGTGGTGATAAGAAGCTCCATCGTCTAGTTCATTTAGGATTCAAATCTTCACATTAAGTCACATGAATAAATGGTCTCCATCGGCCTTGTGTGTGTGAATGCCTTTTGTCTGCACCTGAAAAAAGTCAGTATTGATCCCTTTGATAAAAGCAGAACACAGTACAATAACTAGCCTGCCTCAGTGACCTCTATCAGTGAACTTAAACTTCTTAAAAGGAACTGAAAAACATTCCTGCTGTCCCCATAAACATTTGTATCTTTCCTCTGGTTTTGATTTCTAGAATGTCTTTTAAAAAGAAAACTTCTTTTTCTTGCCGTTAAATTCAAGCAACTATTCAAATTCAAGCAACTATTCATCACTGATAACAGTGTCACCTACCAAACCTGTGAGTGTGCGCACGCGTGCACGCTTGCACATTCCCAGTCCTTCAAGATTCAGAACTTTTGTCCAGTTTATTAGTGCTTCTTCAAATTACTTCATTGGTTTGTAATATGATCATAGTTGAATTATGTTCTTCTGATCATTCTTGGGCCAATGTGTCTCCCCATTACCACACTTTTAAGATAGGATGTCTTTCAAGAGGACTGCTCCCATGGAGGCCTCCACTGTTGGTGCAGTTCTGATTCTGCTGTCACCACTGCCACTGTAAGCTCTGGTACCCCTTGGGTCAGTGATTTCATGCACAGTTATCAACTCAATGTGTGTTTATTTGCACCTACTGCATGTCAGGCTCTGTGGTGGACATTGTAGGAACTGCAGGAGAGAAGAAAGGGTGAGGGAATTCCTTTTTTTTTAACTGTTACATGCCAGATTCTGTTTTAGATGCTAATGAGATTTACAGAAACCCAGGCATCCTGATTTTTAAAGTTCTTCAAGAAAATCCACTTTCCAGTCTCTCAGAGAAACAGACCCTCATAACAGGCCCCAGGAAGTTAAATGAAGGCTTTAGTTACAGATTCTGAGCTGTGGGAGCAGATTGCCCACCAGAAACCAAGAAGTTATCAG